AGGAATGGAGGGCAGTAGGATGCCATGGATTTTCTGCTGGTACTGCGCATGTCCGGCCCTGTGAAGGCACGGTGCTCAGCATCAGAGCAAAATCAGCAGGGTTAGCTTAAACCACCAGAGAAGTTGACTTCAGCTAACCTGGCTGAGCTTCAGTAAGAGCAGACCTCCAGCACTGAGAGCAATCTGTTACCTTGGCTCAGGGAAAGACCAGGAGAGTGCTGGGGAGGAGAGGTGGAAAAGGGGAGAAACCAAAGTAAAACTTTCAACCTCTCCAGCTACATCCATGAAACGCGGGTCTGTCCTTTCCAAGGAGGCAGCCCACAATCATAAAGCCTACAGCCAGGTGAAAGGCTGAGCACGTGTCTTCCACCTCCTCCATCACTCAACCGCCCGTTGTCCACGTTAGCTCTTTGCCTGCTGGCTCTGCAGCTCCTGCTTCCAGCAACCAAGCTCACGAATCAAAAATACTGATGCCTCCTGAAAAAACACTGACACCGCCAGGCTCTTTATCTGGAGTTATGGTTACCTGGTAGCCACATTTGTTACCTCTGCAGCTTCATCCTACATAGCGCGGCCGCGCTAACAGTTTGCTAACTGGCAATATTTTATTGGACAGAGGATGATTAAATAGGCCTTTATTTGGGGGGAGTGAGCTGGAAACATTAAAACTCAAGGCTACACTTTTCTTCTCGCAGTAAAAATCCTACCATATTTTATTCTCGTGAAGCAACTTTTAACTCGCCACACTTTGGAGCTTCAATCATGTCATATACAGGTGGGAGCAAGACGGAGGAGAAGATTTCACAAGTCACTTTAAAACAGGACGTGTTAGCTTTAAAAGCAAGTAAGAAATGTTGTTGCTAAATAAAACGATTGCAAAAGCACCTGATGTCTGAAGATTACTTTTTATGGATCAATTACCCAGCAACAAAATTCTTAAATCATGGGTGGTGAACTCACAAATTTTTTTACTTGCTTTTTACTGGTTGAAGTACTCAACTCTGAATCCCACAAGCATATTAATATACTTCTATTTAAACACCACATTTGGCTTTCCTGGCACACTGATTAAAAATTCCTACCTTTAAAAAGAAAACGAGATTTTGATTCATAAATCCAGCTGCAATATAATTTCTTTCTTTTTTTTTTTTTTTTTAAAGTTCGTCTTTTAGGCCAAAAAGCTAAAGCATGACTGTTCCCATGGACATACTTCAAAGTCCCGGCAGATATATTCCTCCCTAAACACTGAACTATTTCAAAATCCTTTTTATAAAAAAGGGAGTAATGTCCACAAGGGATCAAAGGGCATTCTACAGTCTGGCAATCGCCTTAGAAAAATGGCAGTGCTTCCATGAAATATGCCCTAAAATAATTTTGCAGCTTGGTATGTCCTAATTTCAAATTGGATGTTTATCTTGGAAAGGCTTCTATCTAACTTGTCCATAAAACAGCTCCACTTAGCTCTATGAGCCCTGTGAAAATGGAATCCAAAGCTGGCTATTAAAGGGGCCTGGAGATTGCTTCCATATGGCGTAACAGCATGGGAGTGGAGGGCTAAGGCCTACAGCAGGCGCTGCTTGGCTGGAGCTCCCCATCTATCCGTGGACACTCGTTGCATTACACCATAACATCTGGATTATTGCTTGTAATGTCCCTGGGAAATATCCACTTCCCATCAAAGCCTTTATCTATCTCGGTTGTACTTTGAACATTTTAGTATGTAACATCGTCATGTTTGATGTGATGTACTTGCTGCTTTAGGACCAAGGATCTTCTCTCCCCCCCCGGCTCCTTCCTCAGAGGAGGAAGAGGTATTTGATCTTAGTTCACGCAAAAAAAACAGACATAGTTTATTATCTGTGTTACAATTTCTTTTAAAAACAAAGCATCCAGTTCCCTTCAAAGCTTCCAGGATGAACACGGAATACAGTTGTTATCACTCAGTTTTCAAATCAAATTTGGATTCTTTTCATTTTTTAACCAGGGCAGTATTTTAGGGAGTCACTCAGCGTTGGGGGCCTTTCTACCCAAATTCTGTAGCATACATAACCCCACCCTTCTAGCCACCGACTTAACAGTTCAAAGGTGTGTTGGGAGGTACCCAAACCAGCCCGGATTCCATACGGTCCCGGGAAAAATCAGCGCTCGCGTATTACTAGCGCTCTTTGCAATGCACCAACTCCGACCTTCCGAAACGGGCCAACGGCCTTGTGCTCCCCCTTTCCGCACGGCTGCGCAGCTGCAAAAGCGCGCTGCGCTCCGCTCAGAAGAGGGGTATGTTGGTCTCCAGCTCACAGGACCCAGCTGCTTTCTGGATTAGATCCAGCATCACTTCAGAGCATCACACCGGACAGAGAAGTCGAGATGTTTGCAGCTGGTTTAGGGCACTGCGCTGGTCTGCAGCAGCTCGACCCAGGCTGGGTGACTGCGGTAGGAAGCACCCTACCTCTCCAGCCCAGCTCTGCCGCTGCCGTAAGCCTCTCCCCAAAGGGAGCAGCACAGAGCATGGGATGGCTGCTCGCTTTGCGCCCCTGCAAGACAGCCCATCGTGTTAGGAATGCTTTCGATTTCCTGGACATGCCCAGGTCATTCGCACAGCGTGCGCTCAGCGGGTCTGGCACGGCTCCTGTGCCTCATGTCGCCTACACACACACCAAGAACCACTCTGTGCATGCTCCGCGGCCACCTCTCCAGCCTCCCCGGGTATTTGGCAGGCTGTTTCCCTGACCACCCTGATGGAAATCCCAGCCAAACAGGCAGTGTCTCAGATTCCGCTCGCAGTTTCTGGAAGGAAGCACGTCTGGGGAAATCCAGATGTGCGGTAGGCCCACGGACCTGGACCTTCAATGAGTCAACATTAGTATTGCCTGGGGACGTCTGCACTATGGAAAATGTCTCCCAGGTGGCAAGAAAACGATATTGCATTATTTATTTTAAAAGTCTTACCTCCTCTCTGATACTCTGCACCTACTCGTTTCAAACTGATTTACACGGAGTTAATTGATTAAACTTCACAGCCTCCCTCCGAGTTGGCAAAACTATTACAGAGCAGAGCACGGAGAAGTGCAGCAGTGATCACTCTGACAATGTTACTCGGGCAAAACATGCACTGAAAAACCCACCCCAAACACTACACTAACCTGCCTTCCCAGAGAGACACCAGAAAACTCAAAGCCCCTCTTCTAAATTGGCCGGAAAAGGGGGACATCGTTGCTTTATCGGTGATAATTTTAAAGTGGTTTTATCTTTCCAGCTCTTCCCTCACCCTGCTACCTCCCAGGCTACGGACGCTTCTGCACTTGGGTACTTCAGCTTCTCCCGCTGCTGAAACCCAGCTCCTCTCTCTGCGGTCAGCCAGCTCACACTCTGGCTACGTCCCAGACCAAAGTAAAGGTGCCTTGCAGAGGTACAGAAAAGTTGGCTGAAGCTGGGATCAGGCTAGAGGGCTGGAAACTACGAAACACACGCTTTATGATGGGAGCTGGCACATGTCCCGAGCACAAGACATTGGACAAATTTGCTTATCCCACACCTGAGGCTCCCGTCATTACTTCTGAAATCAAGATAGCCTCAAGACCAGAACTTGAGGGGTTGTCTCCAGATAGAGCTCTGATTTTGGCTGGGCTCTGCGTGCAAATGACCAGTGATACCATAAAGGCCACCTTGATGAGCAGTTCACTGTGGTAAAATGGATAACAACATGAACAAAAAGCATCCCTCAAACACGCCAGGCAAAGAAAATACTAAGCACAAGAATATCCAGAAAGCTTCATTCTTCAAAAACAAACTAGATGCTTTTAAATTCTAAGAGCCCATGTTCACTGCAGATTTAGAGACTGTGCAACATCAGGTAAGTAATGAGCAATCTTTTCCAATGCAGAAGTATGGCATGGTCATAGAGCAGGACCCTGCCACATGAGGAACAGAAGATGGTTCTCCCTGCTGCTTAGAAAGAACATTTCCCCACAAAACATTCCATGTCTCTGAACAGAAAAATGAAGGAAAAAAAAAAATCAATCCTCACAATGCCATTTTCAGAATCTAGTTTCTGGTTTCACAATCAATATAAAAGCTTCTCACAGAAACTTTGAATTTGTCATTACTTTCTGGTTCTGGTTTGAAGAAGAAAGCTGGACAAGAACGAGCAGGTGGGCCTTATGCTGCCTTCAGACGCAAATACAGGAGATGAGCAAGACCAATGGAGCTTTGGAGAGGAAAGAACTGGTTCATTGATCCAGCTTCGCAAAATCCTTTGGGAACTCAAGTATCCCTGCTAACACCATTTGTATGCCATCTCCCTCTACAGGCACCCAGCGAATCCCCTCTGGTGCATCAGGGCTGCTTTCAAATCTGTCTCTTTTCCTGACACACACATACATGCCCCAAGTTCAAACTTGTTTTTGAAGCAATAAAGAGAAGCAGAAAATTTGTACATTTAAATGACATGGCGAGGTGGCCAAGTGTGAAGCAAACCCATCTCTCACATCTTTCATTTAAAAGGATGAGACAGGACAACAGAAAGCCTGCTGCAATCCCTGTGAAGAGGTCAACGTCGAAACTGGGCCACGTAATTTGCCATTTGAGAAAACAACAACACGCAAATAGGAAGCCTCTTTGGACCTCTCCTCATTAGGCAGGGAAACCATTTTGCAGAGGCAGTCTCCCCCTGGGAAAGAGGAGAGGGCAGCGAGAAGGCAAGTGAACCGACACGAGATTGCCGCCACGATGCGTGACCCCGTGGCAAGCGAGTCCCTCCGCTCCGCGAAACGCTCGGAGAGCCTCGCTGCCCACGGGGTACTGGGGAAGAAAGCCAAATACAATGAGGCAGGCAAAAATGAAACCTAACAGCCCACGCGGAAACAGGAGAGCGAGGGATTTTCCCCTGCAATGACACACCAAGGAGCACTTGGGTCCGGTCAGCCTTTCAGCCAATTTATTCAATCAGCTTAGGCTATCAAGGTGGCAATTGCGTCGCGTTTGTTTCAGGGCTGAACTGCTGCGGGTCAATCCACCCCAAGCAAACCTGCTTATTTGCTTCATAGATGTTCAACACCTAAAGGCTGTTCAGCTGTACAAATGCTGGAAATAGCACGCGGGGCACTCAGGGTGAGACTCAAGCCATCCGGGACAAACAAGGCGACTGAGCATCACCATGTTGGGCCCCAGCAGAGATAGCTACCAACTCCCTCTGTGCCCCAGAAAGAAAAACACAGAAAAGAGCGGAGAGCTTGCCAATACACAGATATGAGTACATATATTAATGCTGCCTAATAGTATCCTCTTCCCTTTGCAATGCCACCCTCCACGAGAAAAAGACGAAAGCTGCGCTCTTGGAGACAGCTCCCACAGAGGACAATGCTGTTCTCAGCTCCCATAAAAAATGAGGGAGCTGGATGTGCTGCCCGTGTCTTGGGAGTCCGCCCAAATGTGCAATGACTCCCTTCCAGCAGCAGTGAAAAATATATACTGTGTAATCAACAGATAGCTAAATCATCCAGTTCAACAGCTCTTGCACCAAAATGATTTAAAAGACAATATTCAGTCGCTGAAATCCTTCCTGTGTACTCTCTGTAATGACTGTGAGACAACTGTAGCTAGACTGGAGATCTTGTACTGCTGCTGTTCTTGTCACTGTCCAAAATGTAGCTTTTTCCTCAAATATGAAGGGAGCTCAGAGAACACACATGAAGAGTGCACAGCATCCACAAACGCCCACGTGAACCCCTTCGCCAGTCTGACACGGATGGGGCTGCATCAGGTATTAATGCCATCAGCAGGGGTACTACCCATTTGGGGTGAATTTGGGAAACCAGCATGCATCCCGTGACTCATGTGACAAGACTCATTTAGGATGCTGATGTGCCAAGCCTGCACTAAGATAACATAAAAAGCTCAAATTAGAATATAACCAGATTTCTTTGATAAAGTCAATGGAGATTAAAAAGAACTGTGAAAGTTATATTCATTTTGTTCATCCTTAAAATGAGTCATTTTCCCTATATGTGTAGAAAAAAGCTAAATATTACAATACAGGTCAGCTATCGTTCAGTGGAAAAAAAAAAAAAAAAAAGGAAAACCAATTCCAAATAGAAAACTTATATTTGCCTAAATCTACAGAGATGAAATTTAGAGCTGTCTCAGTTCAGCTGCTCAAATGGAAAGCATACGGCCTTTCTCTCCTGCAACAACCAACCAGAGTCAGCTCAGCAGCCAAAAAAGAGACGAGCCTGTGCATCCGTTGCAGAGCTCTCTCCATTTCCCCTGCCCCCCTTCTTCCTGTATCTTTATCTCGTCCAGCGACATTGTTTTCTACCCCATCATACTCTCTTCCATAACCTCTTGTGCCTTCCCTCGACGCCTATATTCCCCATGCACACAATTTTTCTTTCTAGCCTTTATGTCCTGCCACAAACTGCTAGTACTGCTTCCACAGACCAGAGTTTCCTAACTAAAGATGGTTATTGATGTACAGTACTAGTGTTTTAGTGCAGTAGCAGAATCAATAAACTAGGAAATACTGCTTTGTCAGATTTTTCCAGCGCATGCTGGGAAATATTTTTACTGCCTTTGGATGGTCACAGAGCTTTTCTTTAGAGATCACACCGGAGCATGAACTGTGTCTTTCCTAGGAAGAACTGAAGCTCTCCTACCCTCTAGTGACTGGAATAGAATAGAGCACAGGGTTGCAGCTACTTTTCTTTTTCCCTCCACTTTTAAACAATACTTTCACTCTGCCCGAGTACCATGCTTCAGCATCTCTTTTATTTTAAAAGCTGCTAAGGCACAAGCCAGAGTATTGAGAACTGAATGACCTGCCTGTATGGCTTACAGCTAAAGGTCCAAAAACCTGTGTGTAAAAAAAAATATTCAAAATGTAATGAGAGAGAGGGTGCAACAACAACAACAAAAAAATCCAGTGACAGCAACCAAAACAGAAGTTTAGCTATTCTGAACAAAAAGGATCAGAGTTTAAAAACCTGGCTCCCTTTCCCAGGACCCAAAGCCAACCAGCATCAAAAGAGAGCTGTGTGTCCATGTGTGAGAAAAAGCGGGACCAAGCTACACTGACTGAGTGAGGACACAGTGATTTCCAGAGCTCTAGGTAAAAACTAAAGTGCTGAGCTCTTCAATTATTCCATCACTTTCTGTCACATGGCATTCAGGGATGCTGGGCGGCTCTCTGTGCCGAATGCCATGGGAAGGGCTGCGATATCCCGGGAACCGGGGCTCGCCGAGCTGCCATCCAGCTCCAAGGGCTGCACTTTGCACTTCTTCTATTGACAGAAATACACTTACTGGCATGATATCCAAGAGGCTTGGCTCCTCTACACAGCACACCATAGTTTTAATGAATAAAACAATTATTCAATTTATTTAGGCACAAATCAATAGTTATATAGGGAAAAGAATCACGAGCAGCATGGCCAGCAGGGCAAGAGGGGGGATTCAGCCCCTCTGCCCCGCTCTGGTGAGACCCCCCGGGAGTCCTGCGTCCAGCTCTGGAGCCCTCAGCACGGGACAGACCTGGAGCTGTTGGAGTGGGGCCAGAGGAGGCCCCAGCAATGATCTGAGGGCTGGAACCCCTCTGCTGTGAGGAAGGGCTGGGAGAGCTGGGGCTGTTCAGTCTGGAGAAGGGAAGGCTGCAGGGAGACCTTAGAGCAGCCTTCCACTACTTAAAGGGGTCTTATAAAAAAGATGGGGAGAAACTTTTTAGCAGGGTCTGTTGTGATAGGACAAGGGGTAATGGTTTTAAACTAAAAGAGGGGAGATTTATAATGGATATAAACAAAAAAATTTTACAGTGAGGGTGGTGAAACACTGGCATAGGTTGCCCAGACTGACACAGGTCGCCCAGGGAGGTGGCTGATGCCCCAGCCCTGGAAACATCCAAGGCCAGATTGGATGGGGCTCTGAGCAACCTGATCTTGCTGAAGATGTCCCTGCTCATTACAGGAGGGTTGGGCTAGATGACCGTTAAAGGTCCCTTCCAACCCAAACCATTCCATGATTCTATGAAAATATCAAGATGCATGCCTGTTCTCGTAAGAGCCAAATTCTGCTTTTCAGAGAGTCAGACCGTATAGCTCTCAAGCCGGGTACTGGGGCCTGCACTTTCTATATTATTGTGATTTATTCAATAGTAAATTAAAGCTTTACAGAACAAATAAAAAGCCACAGTCTGTTTCCCGAACAAGTTAAAATCTAATGCAAATATGGGACAGTACAGGAATATAGAGGTAATGGAAACCTGCAGGGATACTACAGAAGACCAAGGGAAGCAAGTTATGTAGATACGTCGCAACACACAAATACTGCAAATCCTGTTTACGTTGCTGGTAACGAAAACTCCCTGCTCGGCCTCCATCCCCAAAATAAAAGGTATTCAAAACCCACAGGAGCGACCAGAAGAAATACTGCCTCAAAAATTCCTCCCGTGGTGAGACAAAACCCAACCCAAACGATTAGACTGGGAACCAGGAGAGCCATGTCCAACTCCAGTACCGACTACAGGCCACCTTTCAGGTATCCTTAAGCAACTCAGATCTCCCACAGATGCTTTATTTGGTTGTATTTACACCCCCTTCCTTAGCATGGACAGTTTCTCTCTTCCTACAGCTCTTTGCTGAGTGGGGTCCTACTGTCACTTGCCACTAGATGCTACAACAGGACCTACAATAAGAAAATAGCAGCAATTTCTCATCACATTAAAAAAAAAAAGCAAAAAGGCAAAAAAATATGCCACCACATTTAGACAGGTTGTGTTCAGAGTTTTCTTATTTTTACACTTTCTGCTTCAGAGAAGGGCACAAAGATTTTGCAAGGGGACTTCTTTTTTGAAGAGAAAAAAATATGGATTACCTTGGATGAATTTCGCTTCTTCCGACTCGACCATCTCTATTATTCATGAGTCCCCACCATTGCATCAGAGAACCCAGAAAGAGGAAAAAGAGAAGTAAAGAAAGTATTTAGTAATATAATTCAAGCAGCAGCTTGTCAAATGTGTTAGAAAAGCTTAATCATAAGTAGGGGGTTGGATCTGCTACTGTACTCATCTACCTCCCCTCCCTCATGGAACATAATCATCAACAAACTCAGAATACCTGCACTGCACCAAAAAAAACCAGAGGAAATTAAGAAAAAGAAATCAAGAATAAAAAGTGGAGGGACCCAAAGCCATTAGTAAGAAACACGGCTTCTACTTTTGGTGCCATCTGGTTCTACAGTAAGCTAATTTGAAAAGGGGAAAAAAAAAAAAATCGTCTTGCTGCTAAGTGCTAATGTGGACAGAGCCATTTCACTATTCTGATTCCACTGGAAATGGCTGAGCAATTTGCATTTGAAATATGAGGGCTTAAAACATCGTCTTTAAAAAAAATTACAGCGTGCACCAACTCTTCTATCATCCGCACTCTGAATGTTAACTAAGCACCCAAGAGTACCAAAAGCTGCTACTCTAAAACAATGTATTTTCTGTCTCACTGGCTAGGTCCAGTTTAGCTCATGTCTTCCTAAAAATCCCAGAAGAATTCCTGAGGTTCTTTTGGCTAAACTGCTTTGTTGCTAAAGAAACTTTATGTCTTTGCTTCCCTCCTTCCTGCAACCCAGCAATGTGTGTGCCAACCACACTCTTGTACAAGTCAGAGGGGGAATTCACATCCCAGATCAAAGGCATATCATAATATAGATATATAAATATGAGAACAGTGTTTTAGATGTTGTCATTAAGCTTTTAAATAATCACATACTGAGGTAAAAATAACTCTACAATTACCTTAATATTGAGATTTTACAATTCTCAAAAAAAGGCAACTATGTGAAAAATAAATAACGAACGGCAGGCATCCCACATAAGCATTTTCTTATTTTGCTTTCCAACCCCTTAAAACATTTGTGTTTCCATAAATAACCCCATTCAGACTGGAATTCCATACCTATAATTCAATAACGTGCTGTAAACAGCAACTTTTGTCCTAGACTATATAGAAGACCTGTAGGAATATTTTCTCTTTACATATGTATTACACATATTTTAAAATTAGCTGTGGTTTTCAAGCCAGTCCAAGTAAATGCCTGATCTTGACTTTCCCCCATCCCTTGCTGGCCAGGAGCACGATGAGTTCACCAACACAGGTATGCTTCACGCTCTGTGTAAAACACTGGTAGGAATGTTCAAAGATAAAAACAAAAGCAAAAAACCACGTGCAGGCCCTGAAATTTAAAAACTATCAGCTTCTGTTGTGGTGCTCCCAGTCTCTTCCCAGGTTCTTCTGGGTTTCTGGCATCACTAAATGCACCATATTTCAGCATCAGGAGCCTAGTTCAGTTGAACTCAGTCAAGAAACTGTCAGTGGCAAATTTCGGGTTTTTACAAGCAATTTCTTCCTCTCAGCCAGCGTGCTGCTCCACAGAATTAGTGCAGTTTAAGTCTTAACATCAAATCCCTGCTTTTAGATTTCCCGTGGATATATTTTTTCATTGTCAGGGGGAAAAAAAAAAAAAAAAAGAATTTACTTATTTATTTTTTTAAAACTGTTTAAGTGTCTTCCTAAGTGGACATCAGGAAATCATACGCTGTGGAATAGCAATCGGAGCAGGTATGGTTCACAGCTGCACTGCAGCAACCTGCCCGTTGCGGTGACGGACACCACACCCCCGATACACGGAGAGCCCCGCCACAGCGCGCGTCACAGCTGCGAGACGGAACCATCCAGCTACTGACGCCAAAGCAACTTTTACCCAGATATAAATATGTGGCTTTTTTTAAAGTCATGATCTATCTTGATTTCAATATTGAGTCTCAGAGGATAAAGGTGGCATTTCCCAGTAAATCAGATTATGCCAGCTCTTCCCCCCACACACACACATTCCAGCTACAAATTTGATTTCCTAAGCCACTTACATTTCTCTTGAATTCTCCTTGCTTGACTGCTAGACTCAAGTTTAATACGATCACTCCCATGTCATCTTCTAAACTGTTGGGATCTTCCAGTTTTAAAATCTGTTCAGTAGTTCTACAAGCAAAACAACAAAAAAAGTGCATTTATTGACTCCAGTTAACTCCAGTTCATTATTAAAGGTCACGCTGAGCTGTGCAAATTTCAGCTTCTTCTTGTCTGAAATTCTCAATATTGAGTTTAAATGTTAAAACGAGAAATCTGGAGGGCTCCTCCTCAGTTCTGACAAAACACACCACCCTTTTAATAATGCAGCCTAGCATCTATATAGCATTACTTAATACTCATAACTCTCCACATGCAAATGCACACTGAATTAAGTTACTACTACCTCCACTTCACAGGGAAGAGGAGCGACAGAGAAATTCATCCAAGTAAATTTTCTAACATTCATGGCTGGGATTCGACTCACAAGACCCATGTTCTGCCTTACCCCCCGCCTGCGTTTAATCTCCCTCCATGACTCAGTTCCCTCTCTGAAAACGGGAATGCTGGCATTTACCTGGTGGCACTATCTCACAGATAAATTCATTAATGCTTCTAGAAATTCAGATACAACAGCCACTGGAACTATAATATAGCCGCAGAAAACACATTTTCTGCAGAAAAACAGTTGCACAGCGAGGGAGTATAAAAGAGAGAACCAAAACTTGAATTCCTGGCTTCCAGCTCCGCTTTGAGCCCCAGCAGCAGCAGACAAAAGGCGCAGGGCTTGCCTCCGCACTAAATCAGGGCCAGATGAGCTGCCGCGGGGACGGACGGCTGCGGGGGGAGGCTGGAAACGGGGCGCTCTCAGCCGGCCAGGCAACCGCTCCCCAGCCCAGAGCACAGAGAAAAAGGCACCCTGCGCTGCGTGGGGCTAGGAAGGGGTCTCAGCCCTCTCCTCCCTCTCTTCTACCACCTCCATAAATTATTCTGGTGTAGGTCTCCCTCAACAGTGCTGCACACAGAAACTCCTGTTCTTATTCCTAGACATGAAAAGGAAAGGGCGCCTTCTGCTGAACTGGGCTCCATCCAGGCTGGGTTTGAATCCAGTATGTAACGCCAGATAAAAACATGCGTGCACAGGATCTACCTCAAGCCTTTTCTTTTAAAATGTGCTCCTCACCCTTCTATCAAAGTAAGTTTTCATGAATAGAGCAAAAACGTTTCACTATTTTCCTATGTTTCTCATTTAAGCTGCATTAACAACCTTTAATTAAATAAATGTATTACCTATTGAGTTCAAGTTCAGCGAGTGCTACAAATGCTGAACCCATGAAGTCTGAAGACGTTAAATCTCGATCGTACACCTGGTAGCAAAATAAAATAAATATTTATAATTTTCACATCATAAGCCAGTTTTATCCCAGCCAATAAAAGAACACATATTTTAAGCCCTTTCAGTTCAATTTTGTATTTGAAAGATCAAAGCTTAGATATAATTCAAGGATAATTTTCCATCTCCCTGCTTTAATTTGTATTTTTAACTAAATATTTGAACAGCATTCTGGAAGTATCTTCTTAATATTATGTAAACATAGACACATGTGCTGCTACGGATTGTGCCTGCTCCTTTATGGTCTGCGCGATGGCATGCTGAAACGCTGCACAAAAATCAGGTACTTCTGGCTACAGATGTTTTAGCAATTAGTGCTCGCAACTGGTAGCTTGCAGTTCTGGTAACTGTAACGTTACTCATAATGAGAAAAGGCTTTGCTACTTGTCACGGCTGCATCTCAGGTAATAATTCTGTTCAACCCAGCCAAATTACACTCTTAAAACGTGCTTATGAAACCACAGTTGGTTTCACCGAGTTTGCACAAGCACAGTAAGAGCGAGCAGAATTTAGCTCCACAGCTTTAAACACATCCAGTCAAGGAGTTTTATTTCAGCTTGGATTTTTGCAGACGGAAAGCAAAACAGGCGGGTAAAATCTGGAAGAGACATATGTGCATTTTAATTTGAAATTGCTGAAACTCTTAAACCGGATCGTTTTTTATGTTACACCGCTACAGCAAATAAAAAACAATACATTTTTAAAGTAGAAAATAATTGCTTAAAAAAATATTTATCCACCTTGCAGAAATCTAAAACCAAAACTTGCCTTTATCCAGAGTTTTTGATCGAGGGTCTGTACGGGCAGCACAACAGTCTCATCCCAAACCGGGTTGAGGTTCTTGTAGACTACCTTACTTTTGTATAAAGTTTTCCCATTCAATTTAAATTTCACATACGGGTCACTTGTACCTGTGATAATCAATTAAAAAAAAAAAAAATTTGCATTGCCTCCACATAACCCCACAATCTTAAATTATATTTTCATAAAACAATAAATAACTGCAATAAATAGCAATTACTTATTTTATACACAGACGCATATATCTAATTACCTATATAAAAACTTCCAGTTCATACAGGAAATCTATTGAACAGAACCAGAAAGCTGTTTTAAAGCAGGCAACAAAATTTCTGCTAATTATTCTTTAGTAATTTAGTTAACATTTTAATTTGGGAAAAGAGCAAACGGAAGCAGGGATGAAGGACGATTTACAGGCCAACTAACAACACAAACAGTGGAAAAGAGAAAATGGGATCCTGTGACCATGAATATATAAAAAGCCAAAACTCAAAAGCGTCGTAGTTTGGACAGGAGCTCCAAGGAAACCAGTAACAATAGCTAAAATACCCGTCACGATTTCCTCACTGGTATCGCCTGCCAATTCACTTAAAAACAAATTTGAAGTTTCAGTGAAAAAATGCTGACATTGTTCACCAGATCAGGATAAAAACCACATGCAGAACAGACTCCGTAAAGACAACAGGCAATATTCAGGTAACACATTTTTTAATCCAAGTGGCACAATTTGCCATGGCAATAATGTCCCATATTTTTATGGAGCAGATGTCCATGGACAGAGCGTGAGGCTCGTGCCACTCGGCAGCAATAGAAAGACTTGCAGCTGTCAAAGGAGAAGAGAAGAGAGAATCAACTTTTTATTATTGTTATTAAATCAGCGGTGCCTGTACAAACACCAGTCACCACACAGGACACCGTACAAAAGGCGGAACAAAGTACACGAAGGGTTTACTTGGTGGCTGCTTTCGTGGTGCACAGAGACTTTGCAACAAAACCTCACAAGCTGTAAATAAGGGAAAGAATAAACCAGAGCTGTAGCAGCATATACAATTAACTGATCCCAGGTGCCGTTTATCTGTCATACCCAATATTGTCTGTATTATACTTTTTATTTGGAATTAAACTTCCATTTTAACAGTTCATTTTCATTAGAAGAATAACAGCTAATGCGCTGGTGTGGGCTGCGGGCAGGGAAAGGCTGACTCCTACACCAGGCTTCACACATTCAGAACTAACCTGAGCCTGTCCCCCCTGGTCCCCACCGAGATACCGGCCGACAAACGCGTGGCAGTTCAGGACAACCCAGTATCAGACCAATACTCAGTCTTGTCAGTAGTTTGATGAAAGAGTGAGGATGTGAAAAATCCATATTTAACCACCCAAAGCTCTGATCAGTGTAATGCGAAGACAGACTCCGGCTCAAGAAAAAAATGGCTACGTGTTTGCATCTATTTGGAATTACATAGTACTATAAAGAACTGTGCTCCTGGGACATACAGACTTCTTATTAAGAATTGCAGAAAATTTTTACTCTGTTTTCATTTCAAAAGGG